GAACGTTCTGTATAAAGTATTACAAATGAATTCCATTGAGTTCACCCTACAATACTGCACATTAAGTATACTAAAGTAGCAAAAATCCAACTCACTGCTGCCTTAGCAAACGTAACTATGGTGCCCATAAATTAACTCACTGAAAAATGGATAAGGTATCTTTGCATTATACTGCAGTACATAATTCAGATATACCTCTTTGGTAAACAGTGTTACTTGTTTTTCAAAGAATTTCTAAAACAATAATTGTTAGCTGCATTTGGTTTAGTTCAGCTATATTTCAATACATTTAATATCTTAGTCTATATTTCAATAGATTTAATATCCTACTCTATCTGATTGCCATTAGATCATCAAAAATCATCTTGAACCTGTCAGACAGAGCAATTAAGTTGAAAAGAAATTTGTGTTTGAACGAAACAACATATCATTCAAACTTATGTATACAATGGCACTATCTTGGGAGTTACATAGAATTTTGTTTTTTTCCAAATTTTTCCTTTTTCATAAGTCTTAGATTTCTTTAGGGCATTTTCATTTCAGTAATTCCCTGAATTTCAATGAAATTTAAAATTGTCAAAACCACCATACTGTAATTTACATAGTAGAGAGTATGGTTACTAAAACAGATACTTACTGCTACTTCATATCCTCTAACCACAAATTTTGGAAAATTAGTTTGACTTTATAGAGATTTGTATGTGTTTTTCTACATGTAATTTAAGTTGCACATAACAAGTCAGAGTAACTTGTAGCTTTAATCATTATGATTTATGCTATGAAAATCTCTTTGTTCAGAGTTATGATACACAGTATCTACTTTGTGTTTCAATTCCAAATATTATGAATTTCTACCTCAGAGCAGTGACCGTTCAAGTACTTTTTTAGCCTGTCAAAATTAAATATCTTTTGTCCAGAATTGACCAAAATACATGAACTATAATTTAAAGCTCAGAAGCTTCCCTTTAGTTTTGGTTTTTGGTTGGTTTTGGTGTGGATTTTTTTTTATCTTCAGAAATGCAACACCAAAATGTTAATGTTGAAGCTAATAACAACTGATACAAGGCCTCACTAATAATTTGACTGTACTGAAATAAAAGTGTAATTTAGCTTCCTCTAAAATTAAATATAATTATAAATTTATACTCTGCTGTACATTTTATGCAGTATAAAAGGAATATAATTGATTTTATGGCACCACATATGAGAAAGTATTCTAGAGACTTGCATTGGAAGCCACAATAATTTAAACAGGAAAAGGAATGTGCTTTTGTGGGTTTTGTTTGTGTTGTCTTTGTTTTTACAGGAGGGTAATTAGCTACTGGAACAGCTTATGAAGTATGAAGTGATTGCTGTTTATATTAAACTTAATCTACACCAGGAATTAATCCTTCTGCCTATAAAGTGGATGGCAAAATTTTCCATTTTAGGGGGAAAAACATTTAGAACAGATACAATACTGTTGCCAAGGAGATCTCTCTACACAATACCATAAACACTGACTCTATAGCAGAAGTAACTGAATAAAATTAAACAGCCTGTTCTATGCAGTAGGTAACAACTGGATTGTCACCATTCTCCTTGCTGGTCTTAGTATTCAACACATTTATGAAATTTAAGTGTGCTTCTAGTTACATACAGATTACCACCAGTTATAATCTGTATTACCTGCCTCAGAAGATGCTTTGGACTTTTCTCCATTGTGCTGATCAAGCGTCATCAGACATCCAGATGCTCTCCTCACATCCCATAACTTTACTCTACTGTCAGCACTAAGGAAAACAGATTTGCATACATTAGGGAAATTGTGAGCACCCTGGCTCAATAACTGTCTTTAGCCAACCCACCTGGCACTCACCCTGGTCCAGCAACTATTCTGAACTACTCATCATGTAGTCTTATTCAAGACAATAAAATTTCATGAGAAGATTTGGTAAGACAGACTTCAGACGTTCATTTACGTGAATTAATAAATATAGCTGACACACTACAGGCACCTAAGTTAAGAGTGAATCTTTGTCTACAATACAATACGCTTGCCTCTGCCTACAAGGTAACATGCTTGCATACATACTTAGACTAGGAATGAATTTTCTAATTCTTCTGTTGATTATACTGTAGGTGCAAACTTCAGCATGGTCTGTAATGGTTGTCTGAGAACTTAGGCTCTTGCTACCAGAGATCCACAGTATGACTGGCACACATACATGCAGCCTGGATAAGGTCTATATGCTCTGCTGTCATATGGTGCTATGGCAGAGAAACACTGAGAGCTTGCTTCTGTAGGAATTCACTGGCTTTCCATAATTTACCAGTGTGGGACAAGGAGGGAAAGACCAAGGTCCAGGCTGCTGTGGTTCATTCTGGTTCCCAGGCCTCATGCTCATGCGTTGCCACACTGTATCTTTGCCAGCAACAAAAGCTACAATAACTGTTGGTACTAGGTATATTCATAGACAGCAACATTGCAGGCAGTGCACTTTGCATGGCACCTTGACGTGCAGCTTGATTTGAGCATTCCAGTAGTATACTACTGTGTGTGCACCACAAGACTCCCAGGTATAGGAAGGAGGTAAATTCATAGAAAAGACCTAATGCACTAAATGCACTCTTCCCATGCACTAAATCACCAGTGTAGATGTATTTACTGAAACTATTTGGACAGTTCTCAGCAACTTAGCTGTCCTTTTGGAGAAAAAAAGGTAACAACAACAAAAAAACCCCACAACACAAAAACTCCAGCTAAACAAAAACAACGGCATCTCTTTCATCTACGGGGCCGGGGGGGGGGAGGGGATTGTAATACAACAACTTGTAATACAACATTCATACAACAATACAATACAACAATATTGTAATACAACAACTACTTCTTAGATAAGCAGCCTTCTAACTGAAGTACTACATAATTTTTCTCAAAGTTAGATCAGTGCATTACTATCAGGAATATACATAGTATACATATACCAACTGACCAAAACAAACCCAACTGTTACTTATTATCTGTTCTGCATCTGAAAAAGCTAATGACTAATTTGTTCTTTTGTGTTCTCCTCCACTACAGATTGGAGTTATTCTTGGAGTTACTTCCAAGTAATATTCCAACTGAATATGCTGACAACACATTACTTTGCTGCAAACCACGAATAGAGACATTGTTGAGGTGTGAGCTGACTGTAAAGTGAGCAACAAACTGCAGGTAGTTGACTGAAATATTCTTAACAAAGGCATGGAAAGAGCTTCCTTATTACAAAAGCCTACAGTTGTCCATTTTTGATGGTTCAGTTTCTACTGGCTAATCTTTTCTAGGCAGTTCTAATGACCAAGAAAGAGCTTATTATCTTCTCTAGTGCCTGCAACTGAAGTGTGTTGAAGACACCCAGAAAACATGTTTCTTCTCTGACCATTCAAATCTCCGGCCAAAACTACGGAAGAGCTGAGCATCACACAGAGAAATTTGAAATAATACGTTCCACGTGCAAGCCACATAAAACACAAATATGTATTTTCCCTCCCCTGAGGTGATCACAAGCAAACATACAATCGTCTTGGAAAACAGTCACGTCTCCTGATACGCAAGATTATTCCAGATTCTCTTTTTACCAGTATCAGTTTCTTCTCACTAGCTCTTCATTATCACCGTGTTGCCAGTTCTCACCCATATTTGTCTTAGCAGATGGCAAAACTGAGTTACGTTGTTAGAAACTAGTAGTCCAACTATAGCACTGAATTAAGTAATGGAGCCACAAGAAACATGTTTAACATGCAATTATCATAAGGCAGCATTACAACAGAGATAGATGCAGTTCATAGTTATATGACTTGGAAGCAAAACGTTTCAGGAGACATCAGTATGTCAATATTTAATAAACAAAATTTGCTACTATTTACGTGATGCGAAAACAGGGAAATGATTTTTCATTTGCTAAAATAAACAAACAAATCACACTGTTAGTAAATTCTCCAACTATGCTGAGCCTTTCAGAAGCTTGGCATCAGAAGCCAAGGGTAGGCAATTCTCATATCAACTGATTGAAATTTTATTCCCAGCTTACAAAAAGGTCATTCTTCTCTGCAGTTCAAAACAAAAAACAAGTCAACCATGAAACTCAGAAGAGAAATGTCACATTATAATCAAAAGCTAACATATACAAAAGCTATGGGAAAGCCAAGAGGATCTTTTAGACTGAAAATGGCTGGAATGAAAAAAAAAAAAAAGGATTGGGAATATCAACACACAACTTATACTCACTGAATTACTGCAGCTTGGAAGGTTATTTACCCATCAGATGAGCTACCTGCATTACACTCTTTGACATAATTAAGCATGATTAACCAGGACGGTACTTTGAGCTAAACATGTTTTACTTATTATAAAACAGATTAGCAATGCACACACTAATAAACAGGAAGAAGTAAGTATCTCTGTAATGCTCCACCATTTTCCTACACCTATAAATACAATTACAATTTCAAAATTCTGTACAATATTCCTATAAAAGAAGCACCACTTGGATAGCTATCCCCTGCATATAACAGTCCAGTAACATCTCTACCTTGCCGTTGCCAAAACATATTCGTGACGTGGGGACCAAGACACTGCCAGTATTTCTTGCCTGTGACCTAAAAATTAATACGAAAAAGCTTATATGATTTTCTAGGAAAATATTTATACAGACCATTTTATGTAAATAATTAAAAGTGAATACTTAGTTCTATAGGCTAGACCAATCCATAACAATAATCTAAATTGTAATACGAATCTGAATTTTGTGATAATATATTATTTTGCGCTAGAGGTTATTTCTCTTTCTTCCTACTGCTCAAGTGGGATTGCAGTGAGCTGAAAGTGATACATAGAGTATTACATATTTGCAGTTTTTGACAGCAAAGACAGTTTTCCCTAAGCAAAATACATTACAGCACAGTCACAACTACTGACTTTTCTTTAAGTACTGTTATTAAATTTCGTGTTAACACTAGCGTTCTCATGTGCAGAAGGAACTTTCCATTTGTTTTTCTTCAAATCCTTTCAAAATGTTTAATAGAAAGTATATTTACCTTATGTACTTATGATGAAAACCTTATTCAGCTTATCCTCAACTACTTTTGTCCTGAATTTGGGATATTTTCTCCCTTAATTAGGTCTGAAATATTAAGATAAATGTTGTCTTCGCAATGCCATACCTAGTGCAGCTTAGTGAAAAGTAATAACATACATATACACGCACACATACACCTTAAAACTTTCAAAGTTTTAAAAATGTTAGACCAATACAGACAAAAGGAAGTGTAAGGTGTCCTAAATGGAAAGACTGCCATCGCACTTCATGTAATAAAAGAAATATGTTGCTGAAAAATAAACTGTTATACACATACATTTTTGCTAATGCAGTTTAGAGCTATCTGAACCACCTTGTTTCCAGTATATCTTCGAGTAGCTGGTTTTCCATTACCTGAAGTAATCAAAGGGCTGTGATGCCCAAGATAACGGACAAAATCTCCATAATACTGGTACTACAGGACACACTTTGAAGGCTCAGGGCAGACACATTTATTCAGATCCATTAAGTAAACTACAGCCAAGTATTTACTTCCTTTTCAGCTGCTAGAGTTAGCCTATGTGAAAAGTATTCGTAATTATTTTCAAGACACTATTGAGCGCTTCAAGTTCTGTAAAGAATGAATAGATTATGTTTAGGGGAAGACGTAATCTGCTTCCACTTGTTCCTCTGATACTGCACTTGAGCTAACTGTACCAGGCTGTCTACAAAGACACAACCAATTTGTGCCTGAAAAGCACTAACTCTTATGTCAAAAAATGAAGAAGACTTGCTGAAAACAAACTGATTCTCTAGAGAACTATTTTTATCTGCACTCTCTGATGCTCAGTTTGAGAAACAGAACATTGTGACACCCATTGTGGCTGATTCAGTTCAGAAGGACTTACTGGCTTAAGCTCTGCATCACACGAAAGCACCTAGGGCACTTTGAGACTTGAGCTGGCCAGCGAAGGAAGAAGAGCTCTGTTTGTACATTGCTGGATCTGAACTAACACTTCTCTACAGTTCTTAGATCAGATCTGGCTTTTTCCCTGTTGGTGAGCATGTGTATATATACTCATATTCCAAAAAGAAAACATGAGAAAAGAGACATTAAGGGCAAATTCTCATTAAATGCAAAAAGTAATGCATTACGCAACACTACACCCCTGTTTTTACTGAATTAGGTAAATGCAAATGATTAGATACCACCTTTCTATAGCAAGTAGTATCTTGCCTGTTATTTAGAAAATCCTAAACAAAACCATGCAATTACCTCCACAGCATATTTTGTCAAAAACAGTGAAGGTTGTTTTTTTTTGTAGTTTCATGTTGGGTTTTGGGTTGGTTTGTCTGTTTCGAGGTTTGTTTTTTTTTAAAGAAAGCAGCACTATATATTGAACACAAAATCAATGTCTACATTTAACCATGTACTAAATATCAATCACTACTGAATAGGCCATGAAAATGCCCATACATCTGTAATAACCGTCATTAATTAATATTTGTATTCGCTGACTGCCTACCGCTAGACTAACACCCAGAAGAACCTTTCGCCACTGTGTAACTTTCACAACTGGCAATAAATAAATTAGTCATGTTACTTACAAAGAATACATTGTATACAGTGTTTCTTTACAGGACTTGTTTTACTCAAAGTAGTTATTGTTTAACATTTATGTTTCAGACTAAAAAGTACCCTGCAGAATGTGAGAACAGGATCCAGACTTCAAGTCACAGAGCTGTACTTTGGGGCTTTTGGTACCAACTGTAACAAGACAAACAAAGGCAGCTTAAAAAACCCTCAGCATCTGAGAGAACAACAACAAAAAAATCTTAGCAATGACAAAGAAATAGTAGAAAAATGTTAGCTGCATTAACAGTTCATTTAGTCAGATCAATCCATTCTATTAACAAATTTATATTTTTAGTCCAAGTAAATTCACCACGTTAACAAACAAAATTTAGAAACTGGGGGTAAACAGGACAGTACTTAAAAATGAAAAATATCTCCTAATTTTTATTTTTTTTTTGCTAAACATAGTGAAATTGTGTACAAGTAAGCAATTCACACACATCCCCATTTACATAATTTACTCCGTTTGGATCTAATAACCTTCAAATGCTAACTTATGTAATGATAGGTAACCTAATTACAGCTTGCAATTTTTATCTAGAAGAATTACCTGAAGCATTAGAAGTGTGTGCGTGTCTGTTGGAATATGATCCCAATAATGGCATCACGGAGGCGTGGTGGCATGAATCCTATGACTGGAGTGTCAGAATAGAAGGTACGGGCTCTTTAGGAAGGACAGGCAGGGGAGAAGAGGAGGAGGGATTGCCCTCTATGTCAAAGACCAGCTGGAGTGCATGGAGCTGCACCTGGGGACGGATGAGGACCCAACTGAGAGCTTATGGGTTAGGATTAAAGGCAGAGCAGGGACAGGGGACATAGTAGTAGGGGTCTGCTACAGACCACCTGACCAGGAGGACTGGGTGGATGAGGCCCTCTACAGACAGATGGGAGCTGCCTCACATTCACGAGCCCTGGTCCTCATGGGGGACTTTAACCACCCCGATATTTGTTGGAAGGACAACACAGCAGGGCATAGGCAATCCAGGAGGTTCCTGGAATGCATGGATGATAACTTCCTTCTCCAAGTGGTAGAGGAACCAACAAGAGGAACTGTCCAAGTGGAGGCCAGTGACAAGTGGTGCTCCTCAGGGGTCGGTACTGGGACCAGTGCTATTTAACATCTTTGTTGGAGACACGGACAGTAGGATTGAGTGCACCCTCAGCAAGTTTGCAGATGACACCAAGTTGTGTGGTGTTGTGGACACGCTGGAGTGAAGGGATGCCATCCAGAGGGACCTTGACAGGCTGGAGAGGTGGGCCTGTGAGAACCTCATGAAGTTCAACAAGGCCAAGTGCAAG